CGCGGGGCGCGCGCATCTCATTCGAGCCGAGTGCAGCCGCGGCACGAGGGTTCCAACCGCGGCCGAAGCCCGAGCTTTGAGAACCCAAACTCCGTCATTGCGCAATTTAGTTTCGTACGTGCTGGTTTTATGTAGAGTGCAAGTTTCACTTCAACGTAATCTCCTCAACAGAAGTATGCTGCATGTGTGTTTTGGTTCCGTGCATTTCGTTTGTTGTGTGTTGTGTAGCTTCGTTTTGTGAACCCGTTTAGCGCTAGGGGGCCCTCCTCAATATGACTGTTCTTCTCTGCTCCATCCGCGCGCCGCCTGACGGAGAGCCCGCTCCGAGCGCTCGAAATCTCAAGCCTCTGAATTGGAAGCCCGCCGCCTAAGCCGATGCCAAAATGGAAGGTTGTGAAAAGAAAAAAAAAACGTGACAGGAGTAGGACAGGCAGGGAGATGTCTAGAACGCTGCGGTCACTACACCACACCATCAGCTTAGTACACGTTGTTTTGTATCGGCCAGCCTTCTATCTGCTCAGTTTGGGGGGGGTCCTCAGGAGCTCGGTCAAACTCGCCTGCAGGAAGTTGTCCTTGGCGGTGGCTTTGTCGATCATCTTCCTAATCCGGCTCATACATCGGCGTTACAAAAGTTTCGTCATAAAATAAAAGTCGATCATCTTGCATAAGCAAAGACAAATCCCGCCCCGGTGGGATTTCTAGAACCGCGTGAACTTACGTCGGGATTTCAAAATGTCCCGTTTTAAATCTATAGTACTATAGTAAGGGATGAAATCCCACTTTTAGAAATCCCGGATCTTTGATCCGACCGCTCTTGACTCAGTCCGCTAGGATTCGAAGGGGGGAAGGGGGGGCCAGCTCGGCGCGGCCAGGGCAGTGGTCAGCCTCTGCCCGCGTGCTCACGCGGAAGGAAGACACGAAACCCATGCCACCTTCAAGCTCTCATGAAACGTGACAAACTTTTGTAACGGCGTAGTATTTCAAACACCGCGCGGCGAGCGTCGATCCCCTGGAAATCTGGCGTGGCAGTGGCGGATCTAACGCAATGGCGATCATGGCGGGTGATGCGCAGAGTTGCGCGCGATGAAATCGATGGGGAGAATGATGATGCGTCGCCATCGTGGATCCCTCAGCGGCATTTCAGACACCGCGCGGCGAGCGTCGATCCCCTGTAAATCTGGCGTGGCAGTAGCGGGTCTAACGCAATGGCGATCATGGCGGATGATGCGCAGGGTTGCGCGCGATGAAATCGATGGGGTGAATGATGATGCGTCGCCTTCGTGGATCCCTCAGCGGTATTTCAGACGCCGCGCGGCGAGCGTCGATCCCCTGGAAATCTGGCGTGGCAGTAGCGGGTCTAACGCAATGGCGATCATGGCGGATGATGCGCAGGGTTGCGCGCGATGAAATCGATGGGGTGAATGATGATGCGTCGCCATCGTGGATCCCTCAGCGGTATTTCAGACACCGCGCGGCGAGCGTCGATCCCCTGGAAATCTGGCGTGGCAGTAGCGGGTCTAACGCAATGGCGATCATGGCGGATGATGCGCAGGGTTGCGCGCGATGAAATCGATGGGGTGAATGATGATGCGTCGCCATCGTGGATCCCTCACCGGCGTTACAAAAGTTTCGTCATAAAATAAAAGTCGATCATCTTGCATAAGCAAAGACAAATCCCGCCCCGGTGGGATTTCTAGAACCGTGTGAACTTACGTCGGGATTTCAAAATGTCCCGTTTTAAATCTATACTATTATAGTAAGGGATGAAATCCCACTTTTAGAAATCCCGGATCTTTGATCCGACCGCTCTTGACTCAGTCCGCTAGGATTCGAAGGGGGGAAGGGGGGGCCAGCTCGGCGCGGCCAGGGCAGTGGTCAGCCTCTGCCCGCGTGCGCACGCGGAAGGAAGACACGAAACCCATGCCACCTTCAAGCTCTCATGAAACGTGACGAACTTTTGTAACGGCGTAGTAGCAGTGTTGGCGACTTTCGTGCGCTTGGCCAAGTTACGATGCACCCTTTTATGGTAGGCCTTCCAACGCTGGTTCTTGTCTTTGAGGTTCTCGATCCTGTTCAGCTACTCGTTCTCGCGATGAATGGCCCTCACTGGGGGCATGGCGGGCGCTGCCACAGCCAACCCGAACCCGAAGGACACGCGCGGCGCAGCTGGCGAGCTCTCGAAAGACTTGAGGTTCAGCCGAAATGGCGGCGGTAGGGGATAGCGATCGAGGAATTGGAAGCGCAATGTTGGGCCCGAGGCCAAACGCAATGTCATGAATGTGGCGCCGCCTGTGTTTAACCGATGGACGACCCTGAACTTCTAAAGATAAGACATGGGCGCCTGGGCAATTCACGACATCTGGGACAACCCTGGGCCACTGGATAACCAACGCAAGCCTCTTTCTCCCCGCCGCCTCCTCCTCCCCCCCCCCCCCCCGACTCCTCCACCTCCTTCTCTTGAACGCGAGACGAGCTTGAGCGCGAGTTGCCTGTGTGAGTGAGTCTGAGTGCGACTGAGTCTGAGTCTGAGTGGGTTCCTATATCTGTGTGAAAAGTTCGAATGAGTCTGGGCCTGAGTCTGAGTGAGTCTACGCGCGTGAATGTTTTCTTTCTACGTCTGAGTGGGTCTCAGTGTGGATGACTCTGAGATATGACCTTGTTGGTAAATCGTGAAACATGTTCATGGTTTTCTGTATGACGTCGACAGTTTTCAAACTGTCGACCAGGGCCCACAGACTCGCCTAGACGCTCCCGAGCGCCTTCTCACTGGCGCCCTCTCGCTCGAATCCAGCCGCTGCTCCGCCGCCAGGCGCGGCCGCCCGATCGCGCGAGGCCGTCCTCGGGGGCGGTCCTCCGGAGCCCGCGTGCTCCTCGGCGGTCTGCAGGCGCTTGAGGGCCGGGCCGAAGTCGCCGATGTCCGCCCCGTCGAAGGTCGCTCGCCATCGTCGGAACTCGACGGGATCGTAGGGCTGCTCCTCCAAGGCTGACTGAGGCATGCCGGCTCGGTAGGCGGGCAGCACCTCGATCTGCTCCTGTGACTTTGGGTCCTTAGGCACGTTCAGCCTCAGGTCGTCGTCGTCTGGGCTGTCGATGAACTCCCCTCACGCCTGCTCCATCTCGTCTGGCTGGACCTCGGGCTGGCCCGGCTCGGGGCGGATGTCCTCCACTGGGGCCTCCTCCTGCTCGAGTGAGTCGCGAGCCCTGGTGAGCTCGACCACGGCCTGGCCGATCTCGCCCCGACCGCTCGGGAACCAGACGTCGTCCGGAGCGAGCGCCTTGATGTGCTCCAGGCCACCAGCATGGTGCGCCCTCCCAGCGAGACCCAGGTGTTGTTGCCCTGGTGACCGATGACCACGCACGGCCCCCGCCGGATGCCCTTCTTGGCGTTGCGGTTGCGCTGCTCCTTCTGCTCCTTCTTCTTGACTTGTCGGAACATGTAGCACATCTCGCCCGCTGACAAGGATGAGGCCACGGTGCGCGCGCGCGAGCCAGCATAGCTCGTCTGAGCTGGTCGTCGTTCTGCATCCGCATGAACGACTCGCGCGCTGCCGTCCGAATAGCATATCGGCGGCGAATCTTCTCGTCATTGGTGGCGAGGCTGGGGGCGCAGCAGTTGGCCGCGTCGTCCACCAGGTCGGCGGGCATCTTGGGATCGCGCCCCAGCACCCACTGCGCGGGGCTGAAGCTGGCCCGCCTCCTCAGCGAGTTCTCGGCGCCGGACGCCATGATGCCCAGCGTCCGCATCTCGTCCTCGCCCCTGATCCACGAGTGCTCGATCGTCCTTGCAGCGAGCTCCTTCCACCAGGCTCCCTGACGTTCCACTCGACCGAGCTGCCAGTGGGCCTGTCCAGCGATAGGTAGCTGCACCGCGTCGAAAGACTGGGGCAGCTCGCTGAGAACGCCGCCGAACCCCCTCTCCATGTCGAAGTGGACTCGGTCCAGGACGCCGGCCCAAGAGGCCCAGCACCTCTCGAAGGCCGTGACGAACTCCTGGTTGGTGTGGCGACCGATCAGCGTCGCGACGTGGAAGGTAGTGGCCAAGTCGACGATGCTGAAGTACCAGTAGCTCTTGCCGTCGACGCCCTTGAGCTCGAAGCTATCGAAGCCCACGTCGTCGCCGAAATCTTGCACGAAGTGGAGGTGCGCTGGCCCCCTTGCGCTCGGGCGCTGGTGCGAGCGGCACACTCCGCACATCGGCCCCTCGACGGCCTGCACGGTGGCCGACTTAGCACCCTTGAGTCGCAGACTGCGGCCCAAGTCTTCATTGAGCGGATGGCCCAAGTTGACGTGGAGTCTCTTGAGCATGGCCAGCTGGGCTGGCTCGCAGCAGGCTGCGCTGCTTTCTTTGTGAAAGTGACCGCGCCGACCCCGATCCTGCCGTCCACAATCTCGTCGGCCTTCACGTCGTGAGTGTCGGCGAAGTCGTCTCCGCCGCCCATGGGGCCTGGGTCCCCAATAGGCTCGCCCGTCTCTCCCAGGGGCGCGGTGTCGCTCACGTGGGCGGCGGCCTGCCCCTTCAACTACGTCGCGATGGAGGGCGGCGAGGAAGCGCTGCAGCCACCTGGCATAGGCGCGAGGCCCACCCTGCCGGCAAATGATCTGCTCGACAATGCGCACCACCGCCCGGCAGAACTTGGCCGGATAAACGCCAGACTTCCGCGCCGCCACGTTGTCCCCGAACGTCTGGTCGCGGCGTTTGTGCGTGCGTGGCTGCAGGTGCGGCGTAGCCGCTCGAACTCCTTGTGGGTGACGAGCAGCTTGGCGGGGTGCTTGACGAGCCCTCCCGCCATGTAGTGTCGAGCCCCGTACTCGCACATATCGCGCCTCACCTGGTGCACGCGCTTGTCGACAAGTAGCTCCATCATCATGCGCTGTGTCCAGATCCGGCTGGTGGCCGGGCTCTCGATCATGGCGACGCCGCCTGAATCGAGCTGAGACTTGAAGAAATCGCGGGCCAAGATAAAGAATGGCCGCTCCGCGCGCCACAGTCGCCGCAGTGCCTACTTGCCCTGCGGCGTGCGCAAGGTGAGGTGCGTAGTGTTCGCGTAGTAGGTGCAGGGGAGCTCGATCGACGCGAACTTCGGCCTCGATGCATAGCACCGCTCGCACGTCATCTCGAGGTCCTTCTGCTTGCGGAGGCCCCAGCCGTGCATGCGGTCGATCACCTCCGTGGCTGTCGCGTTGCGGCGCACTGCCGCCTCGGCAATGCCGCCTTCGCCCTCGAACACCTGCATGGCGTCCACGTCGTGGCTCCGGACGGTGTAGATCTCCTTGGCGTTCCTCGCGTGGTCCGCCACGCCCTGCACGGCGCTCGTCGCAAACTAAGCAAATGGCTCGAGAGGTTCGGACAGCCAGTCCGCCGCGAGCACCGCCTGAAACTCGAAGGCGCTCAGCAAGCCCGTGACCTGGTAGAGTAGGCCGACGCGCTTGCCCTTCTTGATGCCCGGCCGCCGGCCCGAAGCTGGCGGCTGGTCCTGGCGGCTGCCGACGCCTTGGCCTTCTCGCGCGGAGACGCCGCATCCGTCTCCTGGTCGGTCTCGCCCGCCTTCTGGAAGCCGTGGTCGCCGGTGTCCATCTCGTGCTCCTCGACTGGCCTCGGGCGACGGTGACCCGTCCAGCTGCCTTGACTTGCTGAGGCCCGCTGGGTCGTCGCCGTCAGCGTCGCCGACTCGTCGTCCAGGACAACCTCCTCGGCCATCACCGCATCGATGGTGGTCTTGAGCTTCTCTGGCTCGAGCGGCCTCACCCCGCGAGCCTTGACCCACCTGCCGAAGCGCGCCAGGAGCGGGCTCGCTCGGCCGTTTTCCAGCTCCAACACCGCCCACCGTGCGTAACCCAAGTCGTTCTTGAGCACCCGACGGTAGTTCGCGGTCGGGTACTTGCCGAAGCGCACCCTGTCGTTCCCCGTGATCTGCGGGCGTGGATGGGCCACGTTGCTCGAAGCGCCGCTGACCGCGTTCTCGACCTTCCAGCCCTTCAGGCGCTGCCTGAGCTCCGGCGCGGTCGCGTGCTGGTCGACACCGATGCCCTTCATCCTGCGCAACTCCTGGAGCTCGTGCTTGCGCATCTTGCCGAAGCGCATCTTGTCCTGCACCTTGGCCCTCAGCGCGCGCAGGATGACGCGGAGCTGGTCGCACGTCGCGTCGCGCGCATCCAACGCGTAGCTTGCCACCTCCGCCTGTAGGTCCCCCATCCGCATGCTGGAGATCGCCGGCATGCGGGAAGCACTCGGCGTCGGCGTACTCGAGCAGCTGACCTCCGGTCTCGTCGCCCTGGGCGATGTCGTGCGTTTCCGCTGCGACGGGGGCATGAAATCCGGCCGCTGGATCGCGAAAAGCTGCGGTGGCTGGATCTGCCACGGCACGCGTCGTAAAAGCTGTTGGAGCCTGAGATGGATTCGAGCCGGATGGCTGCGGTGATGATGCCGTTTGATAACTCCGTGCTGATGGCTGGTCTCGTAGCCCACTACCGCTTGCTTGCTGCTGAAATCGGACACGTTGTGGCTGAGGGTCGCTGTCTGGTTTAACTCCGCGTCCTGTGTGACCAGTTTGCGTGATCTGTGCTGCGCTGGCGGTCGTAGGAATACCTCCCCATGCCTCATCTTCCGACCCCGATGATGACAAACGCGATGGAATGTATGCGCACGTGGCCTGGCGCACCTGCTGCTCGAACAGTTCAGCGCCGTCGAGCTCGTCGCAGTCAATCTCCGAATGAGACTCGTCGGCCTCCGAGGCGACCCCTTGGTCGCAGCGCTCGGGCGCTGCCGGCTTGGCGGCGCTGGCCACGGCTGTCTCAGCGTGGTAAGTCGAAAACGGATGCAGCGGAATCTCGGTCTTGGTGTCCGAGACGTCCGACACGGGCTTGTAGTTTGGCGCGAAGCCTGTGATCTCGAGCGTCGGGCGTTCGGCGCGGCTCAAACCCATCTGGGCGCCGTGCTCGTTGACGGACTTGATGTCCAGGTTGTTGCCCCCTGCGTGGTAGACAACGTCCAGCTCGCTCTGGGTCTGGCGGCTGAACAGTCCAGGCACGGCGCTGCGCACGACGCTCATGCGCACGGCGAAGGCCTTGCCATTCACCGAGCAAGGAATCAGCGCCGCCTTGAGGCTGTACACCACCCTGGACGCTCCGAAACGGAAGGGCTCCTTCTCCGGGCACTCGATCGGCTGGATGTCGAAGGCCGCCATCTTCTTCTTGATGTCGTTGTACCAGTCCAGGCCGCCGACGCACCGCGAGCAGGCAGTGTCGAAAGTCAGCTTGCCGCCCGCCTCCTTTCGCAGGTCTTCGACGCGGATGTAAATGAGCGCCGAACCCGTCGCGGCCATGTGGCACTGGTTGCCCTTGTTAATGTAGAACGAGGCGGCCGCCACCTCCTCGGGGACGCCGCGCGGCGCGTTACCGAAGGCGACCTTCCTCCGATGTCGCGCCGCTCTCGGCTGCGCTTGATGGTGGGCCGCCGCGACCGTCATCTCCGCGACGTGGGGGTCCTGCGGGTCGCCGGTCCCGTCGTTCGTAGTCAGGTTCGTCTTGTGACTCCCCTTTCGCGGGATGTCGGCCCTCGCGTTGGGGTCGTACTTCTTGGAGCACTGCGGGTCGCCGCGCCAGTGGCCCTTCTGGCCACAAGCTCCACGGTGCGTCCTCGCCTTCATCTTGGCGATCTTGGCATCGTCCTTCTTCGGCAGATGCCCGCCGTCTCGCATGTCGAAGTAGCCGCGCGCCTGCTTGGCCTCATCTAGCTCGTCCTTGGCGCGCGCCATCTTCTTGGTGAAAAAAGCCACCTGCTCCTCCGCCTCGTCTATCACGTCCTGCAGCTCGTCCGGCAAGTCGTCGTCGTAGCCCTCGGAGCTGTCGGTGGACGCGCCGTCGTTCTCGGCCTCGACATAGGCCTCCGCGGCGTACACCTTCTTGCGGTCCTTCTTGTGACCTCCGTACCCGCCTTTGTCGCGGCGATGCTCTGCGTTGCCGTCCACAACCGGTACTTTGGGCAAATTAATCATTAGCTGTTCCTGGATCTTCGTCGGATTGAACTCGTTGCCCACGCCGTTGAGCACGCTCGCTGCGCGCTCTGGTGGCAGGCGGGCGCCATTTATGCACCGGTCGGCCAAGACCTCGTCGGGCACCTGGATGTCCTTAGCTCTCAGCTTCGTCACTATGCTGTTGAAGCGATTGCTGAAATCGCGGATCTCCTCAAACTTGCGCCGGATGCATGCCGGCTTCGCTAATGTCTCCAGGAGCGTGGGTAACTCCCATACTTCAATCTTGGGAAAGCGCTCCCCGAGGTACTCCAAGAAAACATCCACCGAGTCGTCGCCCTTGATGGATTCTAAGTAGAGGTCCTCGCACGCCCCCTCGGCCTTGCCCTTGGGGCTGGCCAAAAAGCGTCGCGCCCTGCTTGGGCAGCTTGACCACCGTGCCAGTCTGCCAGGTGGCGACTTCTCGGCGGAACTTCTTCATCGATTTGCTCGGGCCGTCGAAGACGGGTAATTACGGGAATCTTGCCCCCGCTGTTCTTGTCCTCGCCGCTGGCGGCAGCGGCTCCTCCAATAGTCGCCATGGCGGCAACTCCGAATGAGAGGTGTCGATCACCGTCAACTCCAAATGAGAGGTGTCAATCACCGTCAACTCCGAACGAGAGGCGTCAGTCGCAATAGTCGCAATCACGAGCTTGTAGGTGCCTGTAGTGACTTTGCGAAGTCGCGCACGTTGCCGTGGTCGAGTTAGCTCCGCTACCAATGTAGACCCAATACTGCCAAGCGGGGTCTTAGTGCAATAATAACCGCGAGGTTGTACGTCAGCGAAGATACAGCAATGATACCAATAATATCCGCAACGGATGGCAAACTATGGTTGCTTAGAGGACCCCGCGATGGCCTCTACCGATGCGCCCAAGCTCAAGGGCCCTGGAAAGGGCTGAGCCCAAATACGCACGGCAACGGTCAAAACACTCTGCATGCTTGCTTGCCTGCTGTGCTACACTGAATACATACCAGCACGAACACTATACATATATGTGTAAATATGTATCACCTCAGACTGCACAGGCTTGCGGATTGGCTGCGGGCACCACGCCTTGGCCCTTGGCAGAATGCAAAGAAAGCTTCGAAGAATTCAGCGACCATCAGGGTGTAGCGCCTGTGTTCGTGTCCTCGCGTTCGGAGCAGCTCTCGGAGAGCGTGTGCCCTGGCATGCTTGCAGTAACTGGTTGCACCCGCACGTCGGCCATTCGGAAAATCAAATGCCACATGGCGGAACAACAAGCTGGCACTGAGATTGCCGGCAATGAAGCGGAACTCGGTACCATGGCCAACCAGGCCCTCAGCAGTGTGATTCGCTGCTTCTTCCTCGGCGCCCTGCCTGCAAGCTGTCCCAGGCCACGCGCGAGGCGGCAGCAGCCAAACCAGTCGAGCCCACGATTAGCAAACAAAGCTGGACGTGGTGTGGAAGTTCATGCTCGAGTGAGGCGAAACAGCCTGAGACCACCTGCTAACAAATAGGTACAAAGAAGCACGGTCAAACCAGTGCGTGGCATTTCTGTGTTTAGACCTGACTTGCTCCGACGGTAGCTGTGTGCGTTGACCTCAATGTCAAATTGTGCCAAGTATCCTGAAAGAGTACCATCCTTGGCCACCCGCAGAACTAGCGTAATGCCAAGCAGCACAAGAGCCCAAATGCCCATGTTCCATGATGTTTGGCTGAATGATGGACCACGCGGCGCAGCAGGTAGTCAACTAGTTGGAGTTACTCTTTTCCTAATGCGTATACCTGTGCTAAGGGATAACGGGCGTTATGTGGAGGGGTGAGCCGGGGGGGGCTGGGGGGGCATAGTCACGCACCCGCCCCCCTCCGTGACAGACTCTCATGCTGGACGCACTGCGGCAGTGCTGCGGAAACACTGGGGAGGGGGGGCGTTATGTATGATGGGGGGAAAGGGGGAGAGAGGGGCCATAACGAGCGTAATGGCCCAGAGGGTTAAACAACGCTTTCCCAATACACATGGAAACTAATTCGGCAAAACTTGCGTCGCGCTGCACTGGGCTGGTCGAGCCGAAGGGGGCACCCCGGGAGGGCCCACAGTGGCCCAGGACAGCCCCAAGGCAGGCCAAAAGCTCCAAGACGGCTCAAGGGGCTCGAAGAGGCCCCCCAAGGGGCCGCGAAGAGGCAAAGCACACTGATCCCTGGTATGTAGACAAGGGCGTTCCACTACTCGCAAAATCCACCAGCTCCCGCTTGCCAGGGGTGAAAAGGCGTGTGAAACATTTAGCTGCCCACCTTCCCCTTTCCCCCTCCCCCAGTATCCAAAATCCGACTAGACGGGGGGGAGGGGGCCACCGAGTTCCCCAACGCCCCCCTGGAGTCACGTGAGCCTCCCAAGAGAAGAACACCCAGACAGCCCAAGAGTGTCCACACAGAGCGCCAAGATAGTCCCAGAGAGCGTCGAGACGGCCCAGGGTAGCCCCTCGACGGTCCAAGATGGCTTCGAGACGGCCCACGAGGTCCCCAAGATGGCCCAAGAGTGCTTCCAGAGAACCACCGAGACGGGTCCAACAAGCAAACATTGGAGCCCCATTCCCGTACGAAAACATGTATCTGTATCATGCTCGCCTCTTTTTTGCAGCGTCCAAAACAGCCGAAATGGTCCCCAAGACCATCCCAAAACGGCCATGAAGCCCAAAGGGGGAGCCCCAAGACGGCCCAAGACGGCCCGAAGACTGCTCCAGGGGCCCCCAAGACGGCCCAAGAGAGACCCTCTTGGGCCCCAAGAGGGGCCCAAGAGGACGAATACGAACTGACTATTCAAGCCTTTCCCCCCAAGATATGCCCAAACCCCCTAGAGGCTCCCTGGAGGCGCCCCCAGGAGGCCCCCAAGAGGCCCCCGAGCAGCTCCAAAAAGTTCCCCATGTGCCACAATGAGCCCTCCAAGATGCCCTGCCACACATCTACTTCATTTTTTCCACCAGCGCTGCAAACTTTCATTGCATCTCCACAATCCCTGGAGGCGCCCCCGTGGCCGTCACGAGACCCCGAGAACACGCCGGAAGGGCTACCATAACGCTTTACGAGTGCCTCCCACAGCCTTCCCTCAGCCTTGCCCACAGACTCTCACAAGCATAGATGCGGAGACCGCCTACCCACATTTGCAAGGGTAAGGCCGCGCGCGACATGCTCGGCCCCAACATTCCCCATTGACCTCTACTCCCCTGGAGCCCCGAATCGAATCCTGTTCGAAATACGGGCGACGAACTTGACGTCGTGTGTTTTAGGCCAAGAAAGCCTTCCGACATAGACCGTCCCGTTCCGAAGGTCCCAAGAGAGCCGGTAAAGTCCCAGATATGGCACAACGCATTCGAGCCCCAATGCTCCACATGACTGCCGCGATCGTGCATTACTCTGTGTCTTTTCTGGGCGTCAGCGGGATGGCGCAAGCCTCTTAAATAGCTACTCGCAAGTGGCCTGGATCCGCCGCGGAGGATTCACGATCCGTTACATCGAGGCAAGCATGTGTTTTTGTCCTCGGACGTTTGCGAGAAGGCACTCTGCGAGATGGAGCGCGCTCGGCGAGTACGTGTTTGTACTAGTTTGGGCCCCACAACAAGAGGGCCGCTGGAGGTGCTCCAGACAGCACAAACAGGCCCCAAGCCAGCCCAATAGATCCTCCAGACTGCGCCGTGACACCCAGGACAGGGGCCCAAGACCTAAAGACGGCCCGAGAGGACCCCAATGTGGCCCAACAGGCCCAGACGGCGGACTCAAACTGGCCCAGAATGTTCCCTGGAGAGCCCTCTCACAACTTTGGGTCAGCACAACGACTGTCACTTAAAATGCGCAGGCACATGTGTATATCTGCTTTTCTATATTTCATACATATACATGGCCCGAGCATTCGAGGCAGACGACACCGCTCACCAGAACTGACGGAGAGGCTGCGCATTTTTACTCCGCAAGGCTTACCTGAGGCAAGGTCGATTCTGCGAGCGTGCACGAGCAGAAGATACATGACATCAGCAATCACAAGAAACTCTGCCGGCAGAGATGCACACTAAAATATACTCAAACTGGAGCCTCGCTGCACACAACACTGACTGATGGCACACCCAGTCGGGAGGACGCGGGCGGGTGAGCCGCTAAAAGGCAGCAGAGACAGGCACGCTGCTGCTGGCGGTGAGCTACACTGCGGGGGGGCAACCCAGGTCAGGGACAAATCATGGCCCGAGCATGCGAGGCAGACGACACCGCTCACCAGAACTGACAGAGAGGCTGCGCATTTTTACTCCGCAAGGCTTACCTGAGGCAAAGTCGATTCTGCGAGCGTGCACGAGCATAAGATGCATAACATCAACAATCACAAGAAACTCTGCCGGCAGATATGCACACTAAAAGATACTCAAGCTGGAGCCTCGCTGCTCACAACACTGACTGATGGCACACCCCATATCCCATATGATGGACTAAAGGGAGGAGAGGGAGGTGCCGGAAAGAAATGAGGCCAAACATTCTAACCAGGCAAGCGAGCTTTCAACTGTGTGAGCTTGCCTGGGAAGGACTGAAGCAGAGCGCGCGGCGCCTTCTCTAGTGCACGTCTAGGCGGTGCAGGTGAAGGGCCGCGACCGCGGCGTTGAAATGCTTGTCGCGCTGGGCCCGCGTCAGCGGGAAGAGCCGGCGATGCGGCTGGCGCTGGCCCTTCAGCTTCGCAAAGAGGTCGGCCACGAAGCTCCGTCCTGCCTTGAAGCTCGCCTGGTCTCCGAAGATCAGCGTCATGTCGTGCTCGTTGTTCTCGAGCCGCGGGCGGGGCTCGGCTCCGTCGTCGGCGTGGAGCGGGGCGATGGTGGCCGTCTCGCGAGGGCGCCCCCTGGCCACCCCGCCCGCGACGGCGTGCACGTCGGCGCCATTGATCCTCAGCACGCTGGGTGGCCGGAGGCACCCGTCGAAGCTGCTGGCGAGCGCGCCCGCGGCCGCCTCGCCGAGGGGCCCCTGCTGGATCATGTGATCGGCGATCAGGACGGCGGCCTCCCACGGCAGCGGGTCGCGGACCCGCCCCGGCCCCGCCTGGCTCCAGCCGGCGAGCGCGTCACGGCAGAGCGGCAGCGTGGCGGGGGTCCGTCGCGGGCAGCGCAGGCAGCGGATGGCGCCGCGCGCCGCGCAGCGGCCCTGCAGCTCGGCGCGGGCGCGCCTCCTGGCCGCCAGGACCGCCGGCTCGACGAAGTTCCGCCGCCCGCGGGCCCCTGCGACTGGCTCGTGCCTGAGCCCAGCGGGCGCCCCACTGGGGGGCCTCGGGAGGCCGCTCGCGCGGCGAGCCCCTGGGGCAGCGCGGCCGCGGCCCGACGAGGTCGCTGGTGGGCCGCCCGACAGCGGCCGCCAAGTG